CTCTAAAAACTAATGGAAACCCAGAAACCAGAAGTGGTAATTGCCAAGTGGGTCTCTCAAAAAGAGCTGAGAGAGAGAGAGCCGGGGATCCATACCTGAGAGAACCGACGATCAGTGTTGTTGTGGCGGGGACCAGTGGCAGACCCAGAAATTTCAACAAGGGTATTCAACAAAAATAATTAATTTAATTTAATTTAAAATTTTCAATTCATAAAATACATCGATTCTTTGTTTTTTGCGCAACCAACCACGATGTGTTTTAATATTTTGAAAGTTTTCTATTTTACATTCATCACATATATTGCTACTCCCACCTTTTTTAATGAACATAACCAGACAAAACTAATCTCATCCGATTTCGATGATCATTCAAGAAGTAAAGTTAACACTAACTTCATAAGTACGTATACTACAAGATTGGTAATTATTCTTTCCTGTCTCAACCTTTTGCCTAGCTAGCTCATCGGTTGGTCACAGTCGGTTGGGCGAGAGTAAAAGGGTAGCAAGGAAGCCGGAAGTAAGGATTGCACATTAGAATTGAGATGTTTGTTCTCACAATAAAATAAATTGTTATTGGATACTTTATGAGTAACGCGATGGCTCAAGATAGGGTGCATCAATAACCAAATATGGACCCTTCATTTAGAAAATCCAGATCTAAGGATGGAGAATTAAATGCTATTTTTATTTTCACTAGCTTTCTTAATTGACTCATATCTTTTTCGTTTTAACTCGGATTTTAATTTTTTTTGCACAGATGGAACGAGTTCACCGTGCTCTACAAAATGAGATCAATAGTCAATATTTTTTTAGGAAAAAAAAATTCTGGCCTCTCGGTACCAACTGCATACCATATGGTATCTTCTTCGTTTTTAATTCGTTTTTGAAAACGTTTGCACAGCAGGGATGAGTTCATCATGATCTACTGGATCTACAAATTTCTGGGTGAACAAATTACAGGACCAAAAAATACCACACAATACCATACAATACCACCCTGGTACGAGGTGGTATTGTATGGTATCTTCTTCGTTTTTAATTCGTTTTTGAAAACGTTTGCACAGAAGGGACGAGTTCATCATGATCTATTGGATCTACAAATTTCTGGGTGAAAAAATTACAGGACCAAAAAATACCACACAATACCATACAATACCACCCTGGTACGGGGTGGTATTGTGTGGTATACAATGTTAAAAGTCGTAAATTACAATTAATATACTTCTACTATCATGTATTCAACCATCCTACAGTATTGGTTTGTTCATACCACCATGGTACGTTTTTCAAAACATAAGTATGCTTTTATTTCAATACCAGTCAATACCATATGGTATAGGCTGGTAAAAAATGGCTCAATATTTTTTTGTTCGAAAAATATATTAAAGTGGATATCATTTTGAAGAGCACAATTAATCTGATCTAACTGTGCAAAAAAAATTAAATTTCGACTTAAAATGAGCGAGAAATCGTCCGTCAAAGATTAAAGAGGGAAAAATTAAAGGCTTTCCATGAGAGAGAAGATGCTGATGTCATGCTGATGTGGACGAGTTACTCATGGTTACTCACCATAAGGTTACTCGCCTGATCCATTCCCTAAGGCGATGAGGCGGGAAGTTTTAATTCTGAGAAGAAGAATTAATTAATACTTATGAGTAAGGCGATGAGGGGGAAAGGTTTAATTCGGAGAAGAATTAATTAATACTTAAGAGACTTGGATTTGGAAAGATTGATAGGTCTAGGAATATGTTTGTTTGTATTCTTACAACAACAATTAAATTGAGGCTTAACGAAAATCTAATTTGAAATGGCAAGGCCTGTCAAATTAGGAAGGGTTCAATTACTACCAACAACAATTTAATTTTTTACGTACAAAATTGGGCTTGTCAACTGACAAGGCTTAATAAGGAATGGGTCCGCCACTGGCCGCCATCTGGTCTTCTCCTCATCAGCAAGCTTTTCAAGAAAAGAAAATCAGTAATTGTCCTATGTCTCCAATTCAGTCCACTCCAGAATTGCTCTTCGTTTCAACGGCGCAAAACATGTTTTTGAGATGGATGAAAGTGGAAAGTGCGTGCACATATGGAGATTTGGACCGTCTGACTGAGAGGGAACGAGATTAATAGAAAGAATGCAGTGGGGCTGTGTTGACGAGATCTTGTTATGAAGGCAATTTTGTTGACGAGATATTGTTTTGCATTCATGATTGTGGAGTCTTGCGTGTGGACTGGAAACTTTTAATGGTGGATTCTTTCATTACACATTTAGGGTGTGAATATGAAATGTATGTTTGACCTTGCATTGCATTACCAAGGGGGTGCCAGAATTTCTTCAAGACTGAAATATAGACAGTGTAGACTAGTTGATACTTGTCTGAATGTATGGACCAACACACTAAATATTGTGCCACTTGCTTTATTATGGTGTGTGCTGTGCAGGGAATTCTAACTCCTATTGTTACACAGGTTCACATGGAATTGGATGATGCAAAGCGTCTTGTGCTGTTAGAATCTGCTAAATTGCTGGCCGCTAAAGTTGAAGAAGGATTACATATTCTACCAAACAGGAAACTGCCTTGCTGCTAAAGAGAACAAGCAGAGTCAGCAGAGAATATAAACCATCAAACAAGAAACTTGATATTGCTGTTGTTGTTTGAACATAACATAGTTTATAAAGCATGATTTTTGGCTAGCTTCTTTCTATTTTCGTATTAGTTATGTATGATTTTAGTAGATACTAGTTAGTTACGTTGTTAGTAATCTTGTTGTAAAATCACTAATTGTATATTCGCACGCTGCCTTCTTATGAAGTAGAATACAATAATGTTTGCTGCTATTCAGTGTAATTGCTTTGGTTGAATTGCTATTCATCTTTTTGAATTGAGCAACTAGAAAACCTGGTAATTTTATAATGTTCTAATCCAGGGGAAAATATAATTTCATTCCTTTTAGTTAGACCAGTTTCACTTGGCGTGGCTTGTTTAATCTCATTGGTTTCTTGACCTTGGAGTTTGGAACTCCAGCAATGTAGGGCCATGACTTTAATTCATGAGCTCATGGTTGTGTTCATAACTGGAGGGGTGTAACTGTAGGGTGTTCAAACGGTGTGGTTATCATGGTAATCGTTTTAATCAGTACTATTTGTATAATTTGGTTTGGTTAACTTGGATAATTGATTTGGTTTGGTTAAAGTTTTCAGCTTGTTTGGTTTAGGTGGTTTGGTTTGGTTTGGTTTCAGACACTCCTAATTAGCCAAACCAAATTAACCAGATAAATAATTAGCCATATATCTAATATATACACATACTTAATACTTTGAATAACCACTCAAGAGTTGAACGTTCATCCCTTTTAGACTCATAAAATGTAAAGCTTGATATTGTTCCTATAATGTATATTTGTATATGTAGGGTGTAGACCACTACATATGAACGCCTAATTTAGATAAATCTCATACATTATGTTGGATGAAAACTTGAAAGCAAGGTCCTTTTCAACTTATGAAAATTGCTAAAAGACTAAGTCAATTGAAACAAACACATAAATTCGTTAACCCATACCATTGTGATAAATTTTGGTTAGGGGAATACTTTTATGCTAACCGTAAGATAATTGTCTTAGTTCCATGTATTTATGTCAAGGGTCAAATATAACTATGTGTTGATTGTTATGTTTTATTCTTTATATAAATTGTGAATTGATAAATTCACCGAAATTTTCTCACTTGATGATAATGTGATTTTATATTGGTTAATCTGGTTAACCAATTGACCAAACCGATTAAACTTTAATTTGGTTAATTTGATTGTTGTATTAGTTTGGATGGTTCGGTTATGATATTGTATTTCATGATTAATGAAATTTATCCTTATTTGGTTTGGTAATAACCATAGTAACCATTTGAACACCCCTACATAACTGGATAGGTATGGAATGGGAAGTTCTCTAAGTCGTCCTTTGTTTGACACTTATTAACTAATAGCTTTATTTTCAAACTTAAAATAAAATAGTCAGAAACTAGTGCATTCTGTATGCTAGCCAAGCCAGTAAACATAAGGAATTTGCAGCCTTGTCGTCATATGCACTCCAAGGAAGACCTTGTTGGACACTGATCATAGAAAGCCTCACACTGCCAACTAATTTCTTCTAGAGTAAAGGTGAAATGATTATAACCAAGAAAATACCAAACCAATATTTGCCCACGTAACATTTGAGAATAAGCTTTCTGAAAAACAACCAGTAAACAATCAAATTAAGTCCATAACTCTCAGTGAAGGGAATCAATGGTGGATATTTGTTAAAACCTCAAATCCCAAGTTTCAGAGTTTATGGAAGGATAGAGTTCAAAACAATCTTCAATTTGAACTTTGAACTTGATTAAAGAACAAAGGGCAATGTCTATTTTTTACCCAAACCTTTTTCAGATTCTTTTATTTTAACCAAACCTATTGAATTCCTAAAAATTATCCAAATGTTAATTCTCCGTCAACTTTTCTGTTAGTAATGCTGACTAAGTATGACCATAATGAGTTGACTTCCTACGTGGCGGTCAGAATACCATCATTTACTATTTTTAATAAAAAGATTATCAAAAAACAAAACAAAATCTCACCTCTCACGTGGACAAAATAAGTAACGGTAACAGAATGAATGCCCAGACTTTGATAAATTATAATACGTTTGGATAATAAATAGAATTTCTATAGGTTTGGTTAAAATAAAAGAATCTGAAAAAGGTTTGGATAAAAAATAGACATTGCCCAAGAACAAAAGAAAAACGGATCAAAGATGGGAAACCGAATTCTCCGTCACTTCAGGGGGTTGAGTTTGGTTCACATCCATCAGGAATGGGCTGACCTTAATATAACCAAACAGCCACGTCACTTTTCTATTGTGTGGTGGACCAATCAAATCAAAAGTAGCTGCAGTGCTGCACCGGTGCCGCAATATTAACAGCGGCACCGTACTATTGACCGGAAAATAATAAACACGCAGACATGGAACAGATTGCCCGAAAGCCCAGTATTGTTCTTGAAGAAGCAGAAGAAGAGAAGAAGGATAGGGAGTATTCAATCCTCAGTCTTGAATCTTCTCCTCTGTTCAAAATTCAAATACTCGCTGTTGAATTCAATTTAAGGTATCTGATTGATGATTCAGGACAGGGGCTCGCTTTGTCCGTACCATTTCATTCTCTCAACTTCTCTCTTACTTCTTCCCCAGTCCGATTTTCTCATTTTATTGTTTGATTAGGGTTTTTCTTCTCACTTGCCCACCTTTCGATCTCGTCCGCTCCTTCCTTTTCCATTTGTATTCCCTACTCTAAATTACACGACACGTTGGTACTTTTGTCTAGGAGTGGAGGACTGAGGACTGTTCTGCAGGTCGCCATTCCGATTTTTCTTCATGGAGAAAGGCCACGACGAGGAAGACGCGTAAGTGAAATTGGCTCGCAAAATGACGGGCTTGGGGCTCAATACTCGCAACAATGAAAACCCCGTTTCAGCTTCATCCAATTCGAATATGCCCAACAGCCACAATGACCACCACAGCAACGATAGTTTGTTTCAGGTCATGAAAGCAGTTGAAGCTGCTGAAGCCACAATCAAGCAACAGGTGGGCACCTCTAATGATAGTACATTTTGCTGAATGAGCTCTCTCTTCTCTCCTCTCCTCTCCTTCGCACCGTGTTGGCTTGTAGTGCTTTGTTCATTGGGTTGCCCATTACCAAAGACAGAAGGAAGAGTTTTCCTGATTGTTAAGCCGGATGCTGTGCATTATTGTGCCATTTGATCTGTGTCTAATTTGGTTTCATTTCTTCACCTTCTCAGGTAGAAGAAAATACTCGTTTAAGGACTGAACTGCAGATGACAATGCAGGAACTAGAGAAAGTTGTGAGTGTATAATGCTTTCTATCGAGAAAATTCTCCTTGTTATGTGCCTGATCTAGATACCAGTGAGAATTTTGCATATGGAATATATTTTGATGCTTATTGCAACTAGTCTAGGAATTGAGAATACATACTAGTAAGCTTGAAATTTATTGTCTGACTCTTGGATTTTATATTGCCCCTTTCCCCAATTTTTAGTTTGATTGAACGGGCATTTTGATTGCGTTGGAGAAAATAAGTTTGGTATTAATTCGCACGTGCCACAGAAAATCGATGTGGCTCAACCTAACACTACAGAAGGCTAGTGGGGATACTGGGCCATCTGTTCTGCTACGTCTGTAGCAGTCTTGTGTTTCACACTGAGATAACTTGTCTGAGAAATGCCTAAGCTCTAACTTGTCTTTAGGTAAATCTTCAAAGTTTATAATTTTAAGGCTATTATTCCTTTGTGCGCAAGTATTAGTTGATTGATCCTTTTTGCTAGAAGAAGAAGGTTATTGGACACATGAGCATCTTACTACGTGTATTGTCATAGTCTGACTGGTATGCAATTTCAGTTATGGACATATATGCGTTGGAATAGGTGGTCAATTCTTTCTTCCAATCAATGGAGAGGCCTTTGGCTAAGCATGTTGCATAACAACTAACTAGGATATTGTTACCATATTTATGAACTGTATGTCTATAAGAACTTTATTGTGATTCTTAAGTTCATTGATCGCCTTTGTAATTCCAATTACTTTTTTGGGACATTCTCTTCTTGCTGTGGGTTATGAGACGACTATTTTCCCCCAGAAAATAGGTGAGCCTGTGGCACTAGGATCACATTCTGCCCATCCATGGAATGAACGGATCCATAGTCGTTATGAAGTTTATCAGTCAGACTTGATCGGTAATCCTGAGGATAAAGCTAGGAGCATGAACAGCAACTCTGCAGTGGATCCGTCTAGTTTGATGGTTTCTCACCAAGGTTTGAAGCCCAATACTGAAAATACAAGTCAAGTTCATGTTGAAAACCACTCTGATAGAAGCAACAGCAATGGGAGATTGAAGGCTTCTCCTGATAGGCATGCACTGGAAAGTTCCAATCTCTCTCAGTTTTCTTCACCATCCCCGGCATCTGTTTCTCCTGGGAGGTATTTGACCATAACCTATTATGTGCATAATGTGGATTTTTTGGAGTAATTTGGATGACAATTTCTTTTAGGTATCAAATTGAAGGAGACTATGAACCACAACTTAATGTGCCTGGCCATGGCACCATGCAAATGGCTGAAGTGAATAATTCTAACAGCCTCTTGAAACAGGTATTCTCAATTTAACCGATGCTAGCTTTCTTGTTTTGAAATGTTAAGAATTGAAGCATTTCTGCAGGATTTTGTTCTCAAGGTTCATGAGCATGAAGAAGAAATAGTGCAATTAAGGAAACGTCTAGCAGATTATTCTGTTAAGGTAAAGTCAGAATAGCAAGCTTTCTTTCCATCACATGTTTTAAGATGGTTTAAATGGCATGTATACTCATTACTGATTATTGATAGGAAACACAAATTCGGAATGAAAAGTATGTTTTGGAGAAGCGTATTGCTTACATGCGTCTGGTGAGCTGGGACTCATTTATGTTCATTGGTCTTTCATCAAGACCTCCCTCCTCTGGTAGCTTGCTGTATTCTCCCCGTCTGTTTTTTTGGGTGTCTGACATTACATGATTTGTCTATCTCAGGCCTTTGCTCAACAGCAACAAGACCTTGTTGATGCTGCTTCTAAAGCTCTTTCGTATAGACAAGACATTATCGAGGAAAATATACGTTTAACATATGAATTGCAGGCATGTTATTATCATTTGACTTCTCTATATGGATGTCACTTAAATGGCTATCTTGCTTCTGCTCTGCTGTTTGAAATTGCCTGATAAGGGATTAGGTCGTTTTTCAGTTTATCACTTGATTGAAAGTGTTTATTCTGTCTGGTCAGCGAACATATATTGGTCAGTGTTAAGCAGCTTGTGCTATGAAAGCTTGTGTCCCTTGGTTAGCTGCCTGTCAAAATGGACTTCTGCCAGGTAGAGGAGGCTTTGTGAAATTGCTTTTCTGCAACAGTTGAGAGGAATCAGGCTTAGAGTCTGCCTCATGCGTAAGGCTGGAAAAAACTTCTGTGCGCTGGAGTCTGACGCTGTTGATAACATGTTTGTCCTTTTCTAAAAGTAGCGCTGATGGTTGCCTTAATAAAAGCTTGATACAGTGCATCTGATTATACTTTCATATATGCTCTCTACTTAGTTGCATGTCAAAATGGACTTCTGCCAGGTAGGAGGATTTGTGAAATTGCTTTTCTGCAACAGTTGAGAGGAGTCACGCTTAGAGTCTGCCTCATGTGTAAGGCTGGAAAAAACTTCTGTGCACAGGAGTCTGACACCGTTGATAATATGTTTGTCCTTTTCTAAAAGTAGCGCTGATGGTTGCCTTAACAAAAGCTTGATACAATGTATCTGATTATACTTTCATATATGCTCTCTACTCTCTACTCTCTCCGACTGCAACTTAATGATTCTTGATGCACCAAGGGTCACGTGGACCATAATGTCCGTGAATGTATACACTGCAACGGAGTTGGTGATTTGACTTTCTTCCTTTTTTCTCCTTTTACTTTCTTTTGTTTACCTTTAGGCTGCGCAACAAGAAAGATCGACATTTGTGACTTCCTTAATGCCACTACTTGCCGATTATTCCTTGCAACCACCAGTCCCAGATGCTCAGTCAATTATTAGCAATGTCAGGGTATGCAGTGGTAGTTTCCTCTTGTACTAAATGTTTAATGGTTTTTGGATTAAAAGATCCATGGAAAGGTAAAAATTTAGTTTGAACTTTGAACTACTTATGCTTAATGCTTTAAGATGTTGGTAGACTTAAATATGGATGGGCACAGGTTTGTGCTGTTCAGTCCAAAGAGATCCAACATTGTTTCTTCTTGTGTTAGAATTACCTCGTAAGAAGAAATAAATAGACTAGAACGGAAGTTTTGATTTTGATATCTTGGCTTTGGTGTTACCATGGTTGAAGGCAAATAAGACAAAGTTGGTTCAAAAGGGAAGATTGCTCAGACTTCGGACACAAATGTAGCTAATTCGTGTACGAGATTAGTTTTGAATTCGACTTTCTTCATTTCAGTTGGAGAAATGAAAGGGCAATTATTCTTCAAGCCTTTAAGGGTGAAGATTTATTGATTTAACAAATAGGGAGACCACCAGTTCCATGAATGTTGATACGAAATAAATGCAGGACTCTTCCATTGACTTTATGGATAGCTTCCTTCTAGTTCAAGTTTTTTTATTTACATTAAGTGAAGACAAATACCGCTTATGCGATTTAGCATTTTTTTTAGTTCCTTATCAATGCATTTTCCCCTTAATTCTTTTTTCATCCATCGGACACGGTAATGAGTCTAGGAGTCATGAGTCTGTTTGTGGTAATCCTCAATATAAACACTGAATTATCTACTTCAAGAGTTATTTGTATAGTTTCAAATACCTATGTTACTGAAGAACCACAACATGCTATAGCTGCTATTTGTTTCACTCATTAGTTTTACTGGCTTAATCCTATATTTGGCCCGTGATTCTGAAGTTATGCGCCCTCAATATCAGCTACTGAGGCTTTGTTAAACACAGAGTGTTTATGGTCACTGTAGTTTCTTTCTTTTACAGGTTCTATTCAGACATCTGCAGGAGAAGCTCATATTCACTGAGGTACGTGGTGGTAGTAGTACGTGTTTCTAATTCAATGGTCCCCGTCTAGTTGGTTACTCAGAGAGGATCCTTAATCTCCTTCTTCCAACATGAATGAGCGTTGATAATTGCTTTCCTGAATCCCAGTCAAAGCTCAAAGAATCCCAGTATCAATTGACACCATGGCGTTCAGATGTGAGTCATTCCAGTGTTACATTGCAGTCCCCAGCTCATTCAATGGGCGCAGAATTGGTGACTACAGCTGGCTCATGTACACCTTTCGTCTTTTGCTAATGTATGCCAACTTACTCTCGATGTTCCTCATCTTTGGTGTGCAGAACAAGAATGGGCTCGAGTTTGTTCCTCGGCCTACATATGCTCGTGCAAATGCGGCGATGGCCTCCTCTGATGTTCAGACAGCAGCAGATTGGGATATTCCCAGTCATAACCAGAGTGGATTTGGAGGTGGTATTCCCAAAAATCAGGAAATCAATGATGGTGGGAGATATTCACCTCTTGCAAGCAGGTGAGCTTGGTCAGATGGAGACTGCTGCTGTGAACTGAATGTACAAATTACAACCATCTTACTTTTGGTGGGTTCAGTTTTCATTGAGGTTTATACTGGTTGGTCATTTATGTCTGATTCTCCTCATACTTGTGCATGCTAGTTTAAGCCAGGACATAGTTACCAGGTCTCTATATTCCCTTTGGCAATGAAATTGGTTGTTCCTAAGTTCTATTCTTCTCATTATAATCTGCCACGATGAGACGACAAGCTTAAGAGGAATGCCATGAAACTTGTTTGTGCCGTGTTATGGACGTATGAGCTTGATTGAGTATTCTAAGTGATTATATCCAAATTATCCACGACTTTGGACATTAGTCACTTTAAATCCTTTTCTTATTTTTTAAAAGATATGTTTTTAACAAGTATGATTTAGGATGTCAAGCCTATGCTCACTGCATACTGTTACTACATGCTACTTGGGGTGTGATGGGTTTTTCTTTTCTCATTCTTATGGTGTCTTTTTTTTTTTTTTTTTTGTATATAGCCTTGAACATGCATCTAATTGTACTGCTGGCTGGTGTATTACATGCTCGTAGTTATATAATGTAAGCGTCACTTACTTACCCAACTCAGCTTTGCTGTTTATGTGAGCTTGCCTTTGGCTTTGTGGACTGAAAGAAATCCTTGTGTTAACAGCATTTGCTGCTATTTTGCGAACAATGTCTCTGTATATAGAATTGGAACTTGTGAAGGTAGAGGTTAAGCATATCAAATGGGAGTCTCCTTGCTGATTGTTTTGACATAATCTTTCTCACATGTTGTGTTATTTATTCTCTTGGGTCTTGGACTTTCAACTGTCTTTCAGCCCACTGAACTTGATATTTGGAAGTGCTTTCTTCTATGGATACATGATTTTTGCAAAATGTAGCAGGAGCGTTTCTGGAAAGGCTGCCTCGAAATATTTTAAAAGCAGCTTGACTTAGGCATCCTCTCTTTCAAACTCCCTGTCTTCACTTTTTGGTTCTACCGTTTCTTGATCATTCAGATGTCTGTGACCTTGTTCCTATCTTTTTCTGCAATTTCTTTTCCATTGTTGTTTTTTCTCTTCTGTTTTCTTTGAGGAACTTGTGTTTCTAATTGTAGTGAGCAGTCGTAGATCTAGTCTTTTACTGGTAAACCATAATATTGGTTAATATAGTGTGTTGCTCTTATGCATTTTCACCAATCAGAAATACTCCTGCCCGAGATTTGCCAGAACAATTTGCAGTTACCAGGGGAGATTCTCCAGCGATGCAGTACAATGGAGACAACACTAAACAAGTAACATTCTGTGATTCTGTGAGCAATAGCGAGATGGATGACCTTGAAGCTGAAGTTCAACTGAACGACAGAGAAGCTCAATCGAATTGGGGGTCAGGAACTCCTTACACAACTACGATTGATGACCCTACTTCTTCGTATTCCCCTTATCTGCCTCCTGTTCTTGAAGAACCTTCTTCTTCATTTTCCGAGGGTGTGATTTTTCTTCTATTTGGTAGCTTTTTTATCAAGTCTTTTGGAATCATTCTTGCTTTAAGACACTCCTGTTGACAATCCACAGTCGGATAAATTCATATGTGCAGCTGCCGATGACGATCCTTTACCAGCCATCGAGGGCCTTCAAATTTCAGGTGATGCATTTCCTGGCCGAGAGCTCCATGCATGTGGATACTCTACTAACGGAACAACTAGTTGTAATTTTAAGGTGACTTTCCTGATTTTATGGTCCTCGGTTCAGTTGGCATTTGGATTATTGTGGACTCGTGTGGAAACCAGAAATGGTTTCTTTCTTACCTGTAAATGCTGACCGAATTGTTTGGGGTACTGGCAGTGGGTGCGCCATTTTGAAGATGGATCTGTTGATTATATTGATGGTATTCCATTTCATGATGTATTTTGAATTTATCTTATATTACATTGATTTCCCTACCCAAGTAATTTTTGGTGTCATTCCAGGAGCAAAACAACCGAACTATCTTGTGACTGCTGATGATGTTGATACATATCTAGTTATAGAAGTCCAGCCCCTGGATGACCGGAGGCGCAAGGTGTGATTCTAGTTTCAACTTTCGGTTGTAGTGGAGTATATATGCCAGACGAACGTTTTACTCTCTCTCGTATCTTATTTTATAATGAGTTAACAACCAGTAATTGCATTTTTCCTTACTGATATTAGTTTCAGGACTTCAGTTCTCAATGTCTAATCATGTAACACTATGATTTAGCCACTTTTCTTGTCACCTTCTCCAGAATCCACAACCGAGTAGTCTGCTGCAACTTGGACTTTAATTACGTTAAATTCAGCACTGTATTTTTCAAGAACAACAATAGGAGGAATGTTGTTTTGCCCATTAGACACACTTCCAAGACCTCAAGACCTACCTGTTGCTCTTCGTTGATCCTCAGTTTTCTTCTTTTGTTCTAGCACTTAAAAGAGGACTTGTATCTTACAGACAACATCCGTCTAACCCATATAGTCTTATGCTTCACCATTTTCCTTGGTCACCTTCTCAACAATTCCCTTGGCAAACATGCCTATTGCTATGCTACTGCAATTGATGATAGGTTATATTCCCCAAGATATTTCTAAATTCAGGGGGAATTTTTTTTTTCCCACCGGAAACTATTACAAGACCTCAAGACCTGCCTTATGGCTTCTATGTTCATCCGGAAATCTCCTTAGCAGCCTTTCCTTTTCACAGTCATTCAGAAATCTCTTTTTTGATTATTGGGTCGTCTGAATTGATTGTTCTTAATTTCAGATTTACTTTTTAACCTTCTTGTAAAATTCCTTTTCTTTTCTTCCATCCTCAGGGAGAACTGGTCAGGGTCTTCGCAAATGAGAACAAAAAGATTACTTGTGGTAAGAAATAATATACTATTTGAATATCGATTCCACCTGTTTTGCTTGTTCTGTCTTTAGAGTTAGGCATCCTTGTTTATTGATTGAATCAGTAGACAATTACAACTGGAAATTTTGTGATTGCAAGCACCTAAGGGTTGGCCTAGTGGTCATTGGTGATGAAAAAACATTGTAGGTTTCCTCAAGTTCAGTCCTTAGTTGGAATCTTGTTCCCTGTTATGTTCTGTTCTCTGGCAGCTGTTTACAGTACTGCTATTTCTTTTCAAACTCATTTTCAGTGAAAGCTACTAACCAAAAATGTGTCATATAAGGTAAAAATGACCTGCCACATGTTCTTTAGAAACCAGGTCCCTTGAGTGCTTGGGAGTAAGAGCTATTGTGACTTGTCTCAACTAGACATGCTCCAATTGTTTGGTTAAGTATATTTCGGCTAGCCACTTTTCTCAAGCTTTACCTTCTTTGCAGATGTTGAAATGCTGAATCATATAGAGAGGAATTTTTCTAATGGTCATGTTGCATACAAGATTTCTTTGTCGGTATGTGTTCTATTAGCATGGGTTGTAACAGTAGGAATTCCTTGTCCCTTGTCCAGACTTCTGATATTAGCGCTGACATGGCATTTGTCAATGATATTTCAGACTGGGTATCTTGATATATGGGAGCCAGCTACTTTAGTCATCAAGAGGGACAGTTACACTATCAAGAGTGGCGGCCCTAATGGAGGAGTTGTGGTCAGTGAGAAGTTTTCGTCAAAGATAAGTGTAGGAGTTCCTCACTTCGATATGATATCCTTTCCATTCTTCATGCATCATGATTCAGAAGTAAATGGCAGATCACATTTTTACAAATAAAAGAGCCATGAACTCGATAGTCTGATGAGTTATGTGGAAGGTTTGGATACAATATTACATTGCTCTCTCTTTTGTATTACGAAGTGTAAACTGCTTGATAAGAAGGGGGCTAGACACACCAAGTATGAAATTCTGTTCCATTGCTCTTGTCCCTTCTTTCATTGGCCATGTAGCTATCATGATTCTAGTTGAAGCTGATTACCTTTCATTCCTTTATGCATTTTCCTACTCAGAAAGTCTTATCTAAACAAAAATTAAAAAAATGGTAGAGCTCTGTGCTTTGCTGTTGGGCTGCCCCTACTTCTGTGTGTTTGCTTTTACATTGTAGAGATACTGATCACCCTCGAATATTGTTTATTCCCTCTCATTAGGAATCCACTTGGGGTTTCTCCTAATATATCCTCCACCTGTTTTGATGCAGGTCACAATCCCTTATGGGCACCCCGTAGAATTCGTTATAGTTTGTGCTACTGGAGGTCAGCATATGTTACGAACAGATAATGATGCAGCAGATGTTAGCTGGTAATATTTAGTCTCTGTTTATCTTTCCCCTCTCAGTTAATGATTATAGCTGACAGGACATAATTCTCAGTATATCCAAGTTAAGCACTTAGTATTGCTGGGTTTCTGTTTTTGGTTTGTGCAGCTCAAGAGATATCATTGTGCTTACCATGAGACTGTTCATCATAAAGGTAAAAAGAGGTTGCTTTCTTCCTTTTCTTACTTTTCTGTTTGGTTTGACGAACGTATAAGCTTATGAGGGTTGGGTCTAAAAAAGGTGCGTTGTTTGATTGAATGCATGCAGGCTGGGGAAAAAAGGAAAGGAAAGAAGAGGGGACTGTTTTTCAACAAGTGAAAATGTTGATGGTTATATCGATTTTATTTATTTATTTTGGAGTACATTCTTACATATATGATAGGTTTTTTGTTCATTTTTTACAAATCATCTCCATCTATACCTTCTATAGGATCAGCAGCTGTCCCAGATTCCCTTGTAAGTGAAACAACTTATAATGGTTAGTGAAAGTGTTACTCTTTTGTCTGTATTCTCTCGTCCTGCTCTTCATCTTTCGTCTTGCTGAAATTTAGTGGTGAGCAGTGGGTGGTTTTATTCGGATTTGGATGGGTTTGGATATTTTATGTGTCATCAAATAACCCTACAATTAAACTTTTCTTGTCCCCAAGTAAAAGCACTCGAAACCATTCAGCTCGTTCGACCTTTAGGATGTCAGTTAAATTTTTATCATAAGTAGCTTACAAGGTCAACCCTCACACTTAGAGAACTAGACCATGTCAGTGAGGTACATAGCTCATAAGGAAAATTTGTACAATGAGATACTGTCCTTCAATGCAACATATGCAGAAAGATTATGGATCGTTTTCTTCTCTTTATTCATGTCTTTCACTAGGAATTTTGTATTCCATCGTGTAAATACCTGTAAGCTCAATATATCACTATCCTTTGCCATGTTCACTAATTCCTACTTCTCTTCAATATATCCCACTACTTTTTCGTAAGTGAGGTGACGTACTTCTTTCGGTTTGAATAGGGGTCGCTCTTTTTTTGGTTGAAGCAGCCACGACTTTGGTCGTAGTTAGTTCAAACACATAAATCCTGTCTACTTGCAGGCTTGCAGCCATGCTGATAAAAATGACTAAGTTTCATGACTTGACTAGTCACTCGCCCTCGTATTAGAAGATCATCTCGCCTTGTGGTCAACATTCCATTCCCCTTAGTAGTAACCAGTAAGTGCTCGTTCTATTTTTATTTGAATTGGTCGGGTCTCCCCTGATACATATGGCCCGCCCTTCGGGTGTCTCATTCTGGAAAAGCAGCCACTAACACATATGTAGAAACAGACAACGAAGATGTCGTTGAAAAGAGTAGATTCAAGCTTGAGTGCCCCTTTAAAGGATGGGGTTTTAGTGTAGTAAAATAATTAATTTTTAAGTTTCGTGGAATGATAAAGGAAGACCATGTATTGCTGTCTAGGGTAGGAGCAAACTCATATTTGGCACTGACGCAACATTAATGGTACAAGGAAGAGGCACAATAGCGAAGATCAATTCATCTCAATATATAAAAAAACATTACCTTAGGCATGCAACTCAAAAAATAGAAAGATTACTCGCTTGAAGAAAAGTCTTTTTGAGCAAGGTGGTACAACAGTACAAGACAAGCCCCTTTGATTTGTAACAAGAGTAGATTATGGAAATAGTATTTTGGTCGGCTTTCCCGTTCTTGAAGACTTTATGGCCGGTAGGCTTGGTAGCGGACCTACTTTGTTAATAGGGAGATTATGAAATAGATAGTTGTGCTTGCCTTCACTTGACACAAGTCGTACGTCCCAGCTACTTGTACTAAAAACTAGGACGATATACAGAAGTTAGCGCCTGCTTATCCAAGCCACATCCATATGTGGGTAGGGTGGTAAAATTTTTCTTTTAAAAAAACATATTCTCCTTTCGCACTTCGAGCTCATATATTCTCCCCCTTTTATTTTAGCCGAGCAACGTCATTTCTTACAGACCGTTTGGTACCAAATGAATCAAGAATTCATTTCATTGTAAAAATGAATTACCGTGTAGAATTCATTGTCAAATGAAATCTTGTGTTTGGCATGTCATATTCAAATCTTTAGAAATAAAATGAATTACCGTGTAGAATTATTGTAAAATGAATTACTGTGTAGAATTCATTATCAAATGAAATCTTGTGTTTGACATGTCATATTCAAATCTTTAGAAATAAAATGAATTGTCGTGTAGAATTCATTGTCAAATGAATTCCTGTGTTTGGTATGTCATATATATAAGTAATTTAGTTAATAAAGAGGATAATTATGTCATTCTATTATGATTAGTAAATAGTTGGGAAATTTATTTGGAAACTCCATCTCAATTCCTCGGAATTGCTATAATTAGTACCAATTTCATAGAATTCAAAATTTAGAATTGGAAACGAATTCTTTTAAATACCAAACACAAAAATGTTTCATTTCAAAATGAATTTCTCAAAACTTATGGAATTCATTTATACCAAACGGTATGTTACAGTTGAACATATTATAAACCTTCTCCCTTCGCCTTTCGGGCTCACACATGATAAACATTTGAATAACCTTGATTTTGTCTCCGCTTTTGTGGGCGGGAGCGCTTGGTCGCTGGCATTTCCTTTTCCTCCTCTCCTTCGCTCTTCATCGGACCTTTTGAATAACCGTCAAGAAGATCTTATGAAAATTGAACAATTTTTTCTAAAAGATGTAAAACATATATTGGGTATTTTTTTTAACTAGAAAAGCATTTCACAATCGATTTGCCAAAGTCATTTATATTCATTTTCATATATTTTGCTTCTAAAAAGATGAAATAAATTTTAAATTATTAGAGAACTCCATATATTTGTGAAATAGATAAAAATTTAATTAAATAAATGTTATTCAGGTAAAATTTGCTTTGAAGCGACTATTTCCTAAATACACACGTGTGAGATCTTTTTTTATTTTCATAGAAATACGGTGGTAGTATTTCTATTTGCAAGGAGAATAGAGATATTTTGAATATTTGTAATATTTTAAATATAAAGTAAGACAATATAGGTTAGTTCTACAATTTATATTATAATGATTTATTGTATCGCATATTATATATAGTTAGAAAGTTGCAATTTAGATTTTATATTACTATTAATTAATAATAATGGCTCTTAAATTGTCAACTTTGTCTTTTTTACATTATCACATTCCCTGCTCTATACCATAAGAAAGGGCAGCTTGAATCGGAGAACGGAAGGACCAGGTCTGCGGCAGGTAGGAAGACCAGTTCCAATTAAATCTATTCGATAAATTCAATTTTGAATTAACCAAATAGAAAGTAAGTTGACCTAATCCATTGAATCATGAGTATGTACACCATTTGATATTAAAATTAGATTTAGCTGAATTTGAAAAGTAGATCAGCTTTTTTGTTTCATTTTAGTATTTCTTTTTCTACGAATTTTGGAAACAAGTCAATATTTCAGCTGAAATAATGAATTATTTTGAAGGGTCTCACTCTCCTCCTTGTAGTATCTTCATAAAATGGCACCTCTCTCTGTCTTACATTGAGAGTAAAGTCGAACATCCAACCTGTGAAAACAAAAGATTTTTAAATGAAGAAGCACGTGCTTTTTACCCAATGAGATAAGGGGGCGTGTCGTGCCTCGGTAGGACAGATATCACCGGAGTCGGCGCACAAGATCGCTTGCCGAGCTCCGTGCTCCTTATCCTTACTATTTTTCGGATGGGGCTCCCTCTAATTGACACCATAAGCTAGGCAGCTCCAACTCGCAACCACGAAAGTCTCAGTAACAAAGGTTGGTGCCCTGCGAGATCAGAGTGGGCTAAGCGGTCGGACCCCATTCAAATTACGTTAGGTGGTCTTTCGCTTTTGTCATATCTAGAAATCGGGTGAAAGCCTGATATTTCTCACATACTTAAACGATAATGAAAACTACCATGTAGTCGAATCAGAAAAGGTTTCGAAGAGCGGGGAAGGGTGAGTTCAGTGGTAAGATATGAAGTAGAGATTCATGGGTTAGAAGATGGGAAAAGAAAAGTTGGTGCGGGCAAGCGCCCCCATGTTCCTGCTGGAGTTATTAACATTAGTTAGAACACCGTTCATTCTCTTTTGATGTGACCAGTGTTCAATCAGCCAAATGGATAAGGTCACCCTTGAGTTCTTCATCGCGGGTTGGTCCCACAATGATATGTATCCCTTTCCTTGGACGATCGCAGAAATAGCGAGAGGTTGCAGTCCCCCATACCATAGCTCATCCAACATTCCATGTTCCCGAACATGATCTACACAATGATATCAACTAATTTTATGTTTTAAACAATAAAATAATTATTCACTAAACATGTGCTTGTTGTCATCTTATCATTGTTATATCATATGATCTTAACACTATGGTAAGACAAATAAAGGAGAATGATTCACATGAAACTAAAAAAAAATTATCTGTCCAGTCCACAACTAGTGTTAATTAGTCAAATTTCATTTGTTATTTTGCTGACAACAAAAGGTCTCTTGATTAAAATAGGGGAAATTGCCAGTCTGGTCACTGAGATAACTAATTTGTTTCACTTTTTTTATTTAAAAATTCTTATTCTATTTGTGTCACTGAAATTAGTTCGATAGTATAAGTTTTGTCATTGACCGTTACCTTCAGTCTTTATTAATGGCGTCCGTTTTTTGATGACAAAGCTAACAGAAATGTCTAATCACCCAATTTTAACTAGATTAAAAACAAAACAAAAAAATCAATTAAGAAGTAAGAAAAGGAAGAATAAAAAACCCTAGTGACTCTTTAAGAGTAGAGAAGTAGTAATGTTGACTTCTTTTCACACTTCAGTGCAATCCTCAGAAGCCTAGTCACCATCTTCCTCACCAACATGCTCGTTTAAGTCGCCATCTCGATCAGGAACACATACATTTGCTTCGGGTCCTCCTAGAACACAAGTGGAATAGGATCTTCCACGTGTTCTACTTCGCTTTCCTTCTTTCGTCTTGAGTCACCTCCCTCCATCAGCACCACCGCCAATGGAGTTGCAATCAAAGGGGTACAAACCTGCTATTGTTGGTCGGGTTTGGGCTCCAGCCGGATGTCACTGATTAGGAATCTGAGGAGAGGAAGGAAGTCTTTCCATCAATGCTAAAAGTGAAGGAAAACGCCGTTGAAGAGATGGAGATCTTGGATTTGATAATTAGATTTCTAGAATCTGAAGAGTTGCTAGAGATCTCGATACCTGTTGGGGAAGCGACGGTTGGAATAATGACAAGGGTTCAATGTACGAATTGACTTGCGGGGAAGGTGGGAATAGTGTTAACAGGAACGTTCAGATCTGTGACAAAGGTTTATCCATTAGAGTACCTATTGGCGGTGGAAGTCGACTGGTGTGTTTGGCAGCAGAGAAAACAGAGTCAAATGAAGGAGGGCTACAACGGCAGGGGCTCGAGTTTTTTTTCTTCTTTCATAATTTTATTTTCAGTTTACAATGATAAATAATAATTTGACATGGCAGGTTTTAATTTGTTCGCGTTA